TCACTAATATCTATCCTACTATATATAATGCGCTATGTCTGTCTGTCTGTGGTCTGTCACGAAATTCGGTATCAAGCGAACAACAACCTACAGGGTCCAGGTCAAGTTTGGGATGGGTATACCATATCCCTAGAAGTAAAAAACACACATCAGCCAAGCGGAGCCCCGCCCACAGTGGGCGTGGCGTGCATCGGTTGATTTCAAATTCAGTCACAAAACAGCCTCGAGACCGGGACAAAAGTGGGCATAGGTGTGGGTTGGTAAGCCAGATCGAACTGAGGAGACCCACCCTCGGTGGGCGGGGCGTTCTCTAGAAAATGGGTGCTCAGTGAAAATATTCATAACTCGGTTAAGAGGAAGCCTACAGACCAGAAACGAAATTAGTGCAGGGGAGCAATGCCTAAGGTATTTCCACCACGCATGATGTGAACGGAGGCCCGCCCACAATGGGCGGAGCGTGTCGTGAAGCGGACAGCATTTTCTACAAGAGCTCATAAATCGGCTCCGAGATGACTTAGAGACCGGAAAACAACGGATAGAGGTCAGGAGGGGAGGGGAAGCTAAATGTCAGGGATGGGCGTGGCTTACATCAAAGTGGGCGGAGTTTGCAATTAGGCTTATAACTCGGTTCCTAGGAGTCCCGGAGTCCGGGAAAAAAGCGTATGAGGGTTGGCAGAGGGAAAGGGGTCAACCGTTGTTGGCGGGCGGAGCATGCACCAAAGTGGGCGGGGTTTGCCACGGTACTTCATAACTCGGTTCCAATAAGTTCCAGAGATGGGAGAAAAGTAGAAAAAGGTTGGGGAAGAGATGATAGCCGACTGATATCAGTGGGCGACCCACGCACCAAAGTGGGCGGGGTCTGCCTCAGAAATTCGTGACTCATAACGCCATTTACAAGACCTCATAATTCGGCTCCGAGATGACTTAGAGACCTGAAAAAAATATGCCTGAGGTGAAAGTAGGAGTAGAGGTTGAATGTGAACGCTGGGCGTGGCACACCCGGATGTGGGCGGAGTTTGCCACCGCTCTCATAACTCGGTTCCTAGAAGTTCCGGCGACCGGGGAAAATGTGCATAAGTATTGAGGTATGGAGTAGGGTTGAATGCCATTGTTGGGCTAACCATGCACCAAAGTGGGCGGGGTCTGCCTCAGAAATTCGTGACTCATAACGCCATTTACAAGACCTCATAATTCGGCTCCGAGATGACTTAGAGACCTGAAAAAAAATATGCCTGAGGTGAAAGTAGGAGTAGAGGTTGAATGTGAACGCTGGGCGTGGCACACCCGGATGTGGGCGGAGTTTGCCACCGCTCTCATAACTCGGTTCCTAGAAGTTCCGGCGACCGGGGAAAATGTGCATAAGTATTGAGGTATGGAGTAGGGTTGAATGCCATTGTTGGGCTAACCATGCACCAAAGTGGGCGGGGTCTGCCTCAGAAATTCGTGACTCATAACGCCATTTACAAGACCTCATAATTCGGCTCCGAGATGACTTAGAGACCTGAAAAAAATACGCCAGAGGTGAAAGTAGGAGTAGAGGTTGAATGTGAACGCTGGGCGTGGCACACCCGGATGTGGGCGGAGTTTGCGGCGTAAGTAAGATGTACCGAGCAGAAAGCTAAAATCAAGACAAAAATACTGATGGGCCCGATTTTACCGCTGCAGCCCCGTCTCATGCACGCGAATGCGTGCGCAGCCAAACTGGTATATATATTTCACTACTTTATTTCATTATTTTCTAGGCAAATTTCTTCTTGTTTTTAGCCCTAAGGCCGCATCAGCTCTACCTCTACCAATATTGAGCGGTTACGAGAGAGCGGGCAGCGAATCCTGGCAAGTGGGAGAGCGATTTCAGTACTCCAGAAAGAGGTGAAATAAGACATATTGAAGAAGAAATGTTGTGTTCGCCTGCTCATATGCGTATATTGGGATTACTCTGATCTTTTTGTCCGAGTTGGAGAATTTGTAATTAATTTCAATCAGTTTTTAAGTTGTGCCCGAACCAAGCCGAAGGCGCTTTTGCCGAGTGCAAATCGTCATGCTCCATCACATCGTATGCCGTCAATGGAACAGGTAAGCTATTGTAATTGAAAGATTTGTAATTTTATTTGATTTTTGTGTTTGCTTTTATTAATGGTCATAATAGCAGATAGTTTTAAGTGTCTAAAAATACCGCACCATGTTCTTGTCTTTCGTGCACCCTATTCTCATCTTTTGTACTGCTAAATAATGAGTTTTCGAGGCCTTTAAATTCGTGCACATGTTACTTGACCGAGTCTCCATTTGTGAATCTGAGTGTGCATCATGGGCATTTTTCTGGTTCTCAAGCTGCTCTCCAACTTTTCTCTAATACATTACAAATCACTTGGATCAACTGCATTCGGCTTATTTTCTCGAATTTCGGCATTTTGGAAATGAGCTCGAACCACCCGTTCCAATTCTGCACAAATTTTCCATTGCTGGCTGAGTATTCAACATATAGATACGCAGCCTAGAAAGTTATGCGATAGATTGTTGTGAATAATAGCAACTCACTTAAGAGTTTCTCATTCAATAAGATACTTTATAGGTCATTGATCAAAAGAAAAGAAAACGAATATTCGCTGAAGGAACGGAGCTGTTCAATCAAAGTCCAAAGAAAGGTGGGTGGCTTCGAGGGAATTTTCAGCATAGTCTTCGATTTGTCTACTTCCTCTTAGCGGAATTTTCCCTATCAGCTTCAATTAAAGGTTCAGGGTAATAAAGTAATTCAGGCATTGAATACCTACGAGAAAAGGGTCTGCTCGATGCTGATGCTAAAAGTGTAGTGAACTGGTTGCGAACGAATCCACAGCTTGATAAAAAGAAGATTGCAGATTATATTTGCAGTAGGAAACACGCTGATGTGAGTAAAATTTGGACTTTCCTGTCCTCTTCTCTGTCACTTTTACTTTCTTTATGTGCACCTAGAGTGAGTACTGCTTCCAGGTGTTAGAGGCATTTGTGCAATCGTTCCCCTTCGAGAATACGCGCTTGGACGACGCTTTACGCATGTTTCTTGAGACATTCCGTCTGCCGGGAGAAGCAGCAGAGATCAGCATGGTTATGCAACACTTTTCTGGTGAGGCCTTTTATACTACTTCAATGTAAGATTGACCCAGTTGGCAGTTTCGGTGCAGTGTAGAGTTTTCGAGCATGACTAAGCATTCT